CTGCACCACACGCAGTGCCTCATACCTCTGTACCACACGCAGTGCCTCATACCTCTGTACCACACGCAGTGCCTCATACCTCTGTACCACACGCAGTGCCTCATACCTCTGTACCACACGCAGTGCCTCATACCTCTGTACCACACGCAGTGCCTCATACCTCTGTACCCACACGCAGTGCCTCATACCTCTGTACTATACACAGTGCCTCATACCTCTGTACCTACACGCAGTGCCTCATACCTCTGTACTATACACAGTGCCTCATACCTCTGTAATACACTTTTTATACACAAGGTTTCTCACGTTTCTTTGCAGTTATTAGAGTACAGACTGTACAATCGGATTGTAAAATGTGTGTCCAATTCTCTATTTGATACGCTCAGATCAGGAACGTGTAAATCTAACCCCACGCTCCCAATTCTGGAATCTGCGTTCCCAGGGACATGTTGAAGGATCAGACTCATGTATGTGGGTCATCCTCCAGTTCCCCGTGTTCCCAGGGACATGTATGTGTTCCATCCTCCAGTTCCCCGTGTTCCCAGGGACATGTATGTGGACCATCCTCCAGTTCCCCGTGTTCCCAGGGACATGTATGTGGACCATCCTCCAGTTCCCCGTGTTCCCCATACTGTGTTCCCATTGACATGTATGTGGACATACTGACCTTTGGGACCTTTTAGTAGATTGACCTCCACGATGGTCTCGGGAGGACTTTGTCTGCGTCGGACGAGCAGCCGCACTACTGGCCCCGCCTCCTTCAGCGCCTCCACCGCTTTACTATGAACGACTTCTGTCACATCCACATCATTGACCCGCAGAACGCAGTCCGTCACCCTGCGCACAGGACGGCATGCCGGTTATACATTGCTGGGGGGGGGGGGGCAAGAGGGACAGCTGCCCTGGGCGCTGGGGTATCACATGGGGGGGGGGGGGCGCTGCACGGACAGTTTCTACCTCCAAGATGGCAGGAATAGTGACAGCAGCTTCAGAGTTACAAACATTTGTGCTGGAAGGGGGAAGGGAGAAGAGGATTTGCACTGGGAGGGGGGATTTGCACTGGGAAGAGGAAATTCTGGGGCAGTGGTGGCGTACAATTTTTTTTTTTTATGAGACAAAATTTGGGGGAAGGGGATTGGTGCTCAGAGGCGGATGGGGGGGGGGGGAGAGAGGATTTGTGTTAGGAGGGGGGATTTTTGTTAGGATGGGGGATTTGTGTTGGGAAGGTGTATTTGAAGAATGGAGGGGGGTTTGTGTTAGGAGGGGTTTTTTTTTTTTTGGGGGGGGGGGTATTTATACTAAGGGGGGGGGGGTTATGTTAACAAGGGGGATTTGGAGGGGAGATTTGTGCTAGGAAAGGGGGATTTTCAGTTAGGCAGGGGGATTTGCACTAGGAGGGATTTGTGTTAGGAAAGGGGATTTTCTTTTTTTTTGGTGGGGGGGGGGGAGATTTGTGCTAGGAAAGGGGGTTTTTGTGTTGGGGGGGGATATGGGGAGGAGGGAGGGGGGGTTTGTGCTAGGAAGGGGGATTTGTGTTTTGAAGGGGTCTATGGGGGGGGGGGGTGTGCTGGGAGATGGGGATTTTGAGGCTGGGGTTATGTAGAACATTTATGCTAGGTGGGGAGATTGGGGAGGGAGAGGATTTGAGATAGCGGGGGGGGGGGGGAATGGGTTGGGAGTAAAGATTTTTTGGTTTGGGGGGGATTTTTTGTTTGGGGGGTAATTTGTTTGACACTGCAAGATAATTTTATGCTTAGGGGGTCATTGTGCAGATTAGTGCTCACCAGTTTTTTTTGGGGGGGGGGGATTAATTAATTTTTTGCGGATACATAACTCCTCATACATGGGGGGGGGGGGGGGGTGCTAGATGGCTGCACTCTGTTGGAGGAATATTAGGTTTCAGTATTTGCAGACAATTATCGATGATCTCACATTAATCGTCCATCCATGGCCGCCGCCCCTCCAGGAATGATCTTTGTGATGAATATTCCGGGATCGTCCGGGAACGTGCGGATTATCGATCCCTCCGGCAATGCTGAACCCCAACCCGGAGTTCCCCTGAGAAGGACAATGAAGGAACAGATGTCACCATAGAGACAGGGAGATGATCGCTGTGACCCCCCCCCCCCCCCCGGGCTTCATTCACACCAGCTACCTCCCCCCTCCCCCCCCGGGCTTCATTCACACAGCTACCCCCCCTCCCCTCCCCCGGGCTTCATATTCACACGGCTACCCCCCCCCCCCCGGGGCTTCATTCATTCACGGCTACACTCCCCCTTACCCCCCGGGCTTCATTCACAGCTACCCTCCCCCCCCCCCCTCCCCCTGGCTTCATTCACAACAGCTACCCCCCCCCCCCCCCCCCCGGGCTTCAGTTTCACACAGCTACCTCCCCCCTCCCCCCGGATTAATCATTCATTCACACCACAGCTACAAACCCCCCCCCGCTCCCCAGGCTTCATTCACACAGCTCACCCTCCCCCCCCCGGGCTTCATTCACACAGCTCCCCCCCCCCCCCGGGCTTCATTCACACAGCTACCCCCTCCCTCCTCCCCGGGCTTCATTCACACAGCTCCCCCCCCCAGCACCCCCGGCTTCATTCACACAGCTACTTTCCCCCCCTCTCCCCGGACTTCATTCACGACAGCTACCCGCCCCCCCCCCCGCTCCCCAGGCTTCAATCACACTGGCTACCCCCTCCCCGGGGCTTCATTCACACAGCTACCCCCCCCCCCTACCCCAGGCTTCATTCACACAGGTACCCCCCCACCGGCCCGAACCGTGGGGGCCCCCTTCCCCGGGCTTCATTCACAACAGCTACTCCCCCCCCCCTCCCCGGGCTTCATTCACACAGCTACTACCCCCCCCCCCTCCGGTCCCCAGGCTTCATTCACACAGCTACCCCCCCCCCCCCCCCTCCCGGGCTTCATTCACACAGCTACTCCCCCCCCCTCCCCGGGCTTCATTCATAACAGCTACCCCCCACCATCCGGGGGCTTCATTCACACCACAGCTACTCCCCCCCCCTCCCCGGCTTCATTCATACGCTCTACCCACCTCCACCACCGCTCCTGGGCTTCATTCACACAGCTACTCCCCCCCCCCCCCCGGGCTTCATTCACACAGCTACCCCCCCCCCCCCCCCTCCCCGGGCTTCTTTCACACAGCTACCCCCCCCCCTTCCCCGGCTTCATTCAACAGCTTACCCCCCCCGCCCCCGCTCCCAGGGCTTCATTCACACAGCTACCCCCCCCTCTTCCCCGGGCTTCATTCACACAGCTAACCCCCCCTTCCCCGGGCTTCATTTCACACAGCTACCCCCCCCTAACCCTCCCCTCCCCCGGGGCTTCATTCACACAGCTACCCCCCCCCCCCCCCCGGCTTCATTCACACAGCTACCCCCCCCGGGCAAATTCATTCACACAGCTACCCCCCCCCTGTGGGCTTCATTTCACACAGCTTACCCCCCCCCCGGGCTTTCATTCACACAGCTACCCCCCCTCCCGGGGCTTCATTCCACACAGCCGCTACCCCCCCCCCCCCCCAGTTAACCCCCCCGCTCCCCGTTCACACACAGCTACCCCCCCCCCCCCCCCGCTCCCCGGGCTTCATTCACACACCGGCTACCCCCCCCCCCCAGGGCTTCATTCACACAGCTACCCCCCCCCTCCCCGGGCTTCATTCACACAGCTACCCCCCCTCCCTGGGCTTCATTCACACAGCTACCCCCCCCCCCCGCTCCCGTTCACACAGCCCCCCCCCCCGCTCCCCGGGCTTCATTCACACAGCTAACCCCCCCCTGGGCTTCACGTTCACACAGCTACCCCCCATCCGGATTGGAAGACCCCAGTGCTTCATTCACACAGCTATCCCCCTGGTCTTCATTCACACGGCTACCCCCATCCAGGAGATGGGGCTTCATTCACACAGCACCCCCCCCAGAATGAGGACCCCGGGTCTGAGCACATGCGGATGAATGGATACATTCCGACATGTTCACAGTCCACATGTCAGGACTGTTTCATTGTAACTTTGCAGAAGGAGGTCATTTTCCTCAGTCTCCTCCCCAGTGATCAGACTGTACATTGTACCAGACCGGGTGCAATAGACATGGGCGTGTCCCTAAAGTGGATAGAATGGTGGCTTCCAGTCTTACCCTCTCCAGCACGATCTCTTTCATACTTGTATAACGCGTCGCTGCCATTGACCTACAGAATATAGACAACCAAAGTAAGGATTTCAGTCATTTCAGACCAGCAAAACATCTCACAGACCAGCCCACGTGCCACGTATAGAGCAGACAAGATGGAAGACCAATCATCTAGAACACGTCAAAGAGTCCCGAAAAGAGCTGCCCAATCATGATGGCGCTAAGGCCAATTATAACTTTGGGGGTGTGCTTGTAGACATGGAGGACCAGTTTGGTGAAGACCCTTTTTCTGGTGTGGAGGACCCTTTGGTGTGGAGGAACTCCAGTGTCCTGTACAGAGCCCTGACCTCAACCTTCCCGAACACCCTTGGGATGAATTGGATGCTGAGCAAGGTCTTCTCATCCAACATCAGTACTTGACCTCAAACAAATGTTCCCTTTGACTGTGCGAATGTGTGTCTAATCAGCCAGTCATACGCCAAACATTTGCAGGAAGCCTTCCCAGAAACGTAGAACCAGCTCCATAAAGACATGGAGGACCAGTTTGGTGAAGACCCTTTTCTGTCCCCCCATGACTGTCCCCCCGTGTACAAAGCCAGCTCCATAAAGTCATGGATGACCAGTTTGGTGTGGAGGAACTCCAGTGTCCTGTACAGAGCCCTGACCTCAACACTACTGAACACCCTTGGGATGAATTGGAACGCCGATAGTGAACAAGATCTCTCCACTGGCCTCCATTCAGTGTCCTCCACCCCTCTCTGCCAATCCCTCCACTGGCCTCCATTCAGTGTCCTCCACCCCTCTCTGCCAATCCCTCACTGGCCTCCATTCAGTGTCCTCCACCCCCCTCTCTGCCAATCCCTCTACTGGCCTCCATTCAGTGTCCTCCATCCCCCTCTCTGCCAATCCCTTCACTGGCCTCCATTCAGTGTCCTCCATCCCCTCTCTGCCAATTCCTCCACTGGCCTCCATTCAGTGTCCTCCACCCCCCTCTGCCAATCCATTCCACTGGCCTCCATTCAGTGTCCTCCACCCCTCTCTGTCAATCCCTCTACTGGCCTCCATTCAGTGTCCTCCACCCCTCTCTGCCAATCCCTCCTCCTGTGCCTCCATTCAGTGTCCTCCACCCCTCTCTGCCAATCCATCCACTGGCCTCCATTCAGTGTCCTCCACCCTTCTCTGCCAATCCATCCACTGGCCTCCATTCAGTGTCCTCCACCCCTCTCTGCCAATCCCTTCACTGGCCTCCATTCAGTGTCCTCCATCCCTCTCTGCCAATCCCTCCACTGGCCTCCATTCAGTATCCTCCACCCCTCTCTGCCAATCCCTCCACTGGCCTCCATTCAGTGTCCTCCATCCCCTCTCTGCCAATCCCTCCACTGGCCTCCATTCAGTGTCCTCCTATATAACTCCTGTATAATAATGCAGTGATAGCTGCTTAACATTTCTCAGGGCGGGTTTCCTGATGGTGACAACATTGGCCCTGTGCCTATAAAATGTTTGTTAAAATGGCCATATGTGGTCTCCATCCAAAAACAAACCAGGGCCAGGACAAGGGGTGGGCAGGAGGGCGGCTGCCCTGGGCACAGTGCTATTATGTGAGGTGGGGGGGGGGGGCACCTCATGGAGAGTTCCTATACCTACAAGCTGACAGGAGTGGTGATGGCAGCTTCAACACTGGGAGGAGGGGCAGGTTGTACTCTCTCTCCCCTCCAGCTCCCACTCCTGGATCAGGGCTGCCAGATCTCCACTGTGCAGTGTTTGTTTACCCTCTCCCCCACCTCCTCCTAGCAAAGAGGGCGGGCGGGCAGGGGGTGGGTAGGTGGACATCTCACAGTGGCAATCTGTCAGTCAGTGGCAACCCTATGGCCCCCCTTTAATGCGTACATCTGCTTTTTGTGGAGGAGACTTTTGCTGACACATAATGTTCATACATTGGGGGGGGGCGCTGTTAAGGCGCTAGATGATCTTGTCCACACATTGCATGTGACAGGGTGACAACTAAGGAGCACAATTGGGGGACATGTACAGAGCGTTGTCACCCTCTAACAGGAAGTCAGCTTCATGGGAGGATCAGCTGGGTGACAACTAAGGTGCACAATTGGGAGACATGGACAGAGCGTTGTCACCCTCTAACAGGAAGTGAATTTCATGGCAGCTTTAAGACAAATTGATACGTTAAATCTTCCAGAACAGTTTGGTGGTTGAGGTTCCATGTATCCTCCATTCATTTCTCCCCCAGGCCACGAATCCCCATCCCTCACCCTGCCATCCCCCCGGGCCACGAATCCCTATCCCTGCCATCCCCCCCCAGGCCACAAATATCCTCCCTCACCCCTGCATCCCCCCAGGCCACGAATCCCCATCCCTCACCCCTGCCATCCCCCCGGGCCCGAATCCCCATCTCTCACCCCTGCCATCCCCCCGGGCCACGAATCCCCATCCCCCATCCTGCCATCCCCCCAGGCCAGAAATCCCCATCTCACCCCTGCCATCCCCCCCCCGGCCACGAGTTCCCATCCCTCACCCCTGCCATCCCCCCGGGCCAGAAATCCCAATCTCACCCCTGCCATCCCCCCAGGCCACAAGTTCCCATCTCACCCCTGCCATCCCCCCAGGCCACGAATCCCCATCCCACTCCTGCCATCCCCCCAGGCCACGAATCCCCATCCCTCACCCCTGCCATCCCCCCAGACCACGAGTCCCCATCCCTCATGATCCCCTGCCATCCCCCCAGAACACGAAACCCCATTCCTCTCACCCCTGCCATCCCCGTGGGCCACGATAGTTTTCCAGGCATCCCATCACCCCTGCCATCCCCGGGCCACGAGTCCCCATCCCTCACCCCTGCCATCCCCCCAGGCCACAAATCCCTCATCCCTCACCCCTGTCATCCCCCAGGCCACGAATCCTCATCCCTCACCCCTGCCATCCCCCAGGCCACGTACAATCCCCATCCCTCACCCCCCTGCCATCCCCCCAGACCACGAGTCCCCAACCCTCACCCTGCCATCCCCCAGAACACGAGTCCCCAACCCTCACCCCTGCCATCCCCCCCAGAACACGAAACCCCCATCCCTCACCCCTGCCATCCCCCCCCAGGCCACAAATCCTCATCCCTCACCCCTGCCATCCCCCCAGGCCACGAATCCTCATCCCTCACCCCTGTCATCGCCCCAGGCCACGAATCCTCATCCCTCACCCCTGCCATCCCCCCAGGCCACAAATCCTCATCCCTCACCCCTGTCATCCCCCCAGGCCACAAATCCTCATCCCTCACCCCTGTCATCCCCCCCAGGCCACAAATCCCTCACCCCTGCCATCCCCCCAGGCCACGAATCCCCATCCCTCACCCCTGCCATCCCCCCAGACCACGAGTCCCCCATCCCTCATCCATGCCATCCCCCCAGACCACGAGTCCCCAACCCTCACCCCTGCCATCCCCCCAGAACACGAAACCCCATCCCTCACCCCTGCCATCCCCCCCAGGCCACAAATCCTCATCCCTCACCCCTGCCATCCCCCCAGGCCACGAATCCTCATCCCTCACCCCTGCCATCCCCCCAGGCCACGAATCCTCATCCATCACCCCTGTCATCCCCCCAGGCCACAAATCCCTCACCCCTGCCATCCCCCCAGGCCACGAATCCCCATCCCTCACCCCTGCCATCCCCCAGGCCACGAATCCCCATCCCTCACCCCTGCCATCCCCCCAGACCACGAGTCCCCATCCCTCATCCATGCCATCCCCCCAGACCACGAGTCCCCAACCCTCACCCCTGCCATCCCCCCCAGGCCACAAATCCTCATCCCTCACCCCTGCCATCCCCCCAGGCCACGAAATCCTCATCCCTCACCCCTGTCATCCCCCCAGGCCACGAATCCTCATCCCTCACCCCTGCCATCCCCCCAGGCCACGAATCCTCATCCCTCACCCCTGTCATCCCCCCCAGGCCACAAATCCCTCACCCCTGCCATCCCCCCAGGCCACGAATCCCCATCCCTCACCCCTGCCATCCCCCCAGACCACGAGTCCCCATCCCTCATCCATGCCATCCCCCCAGACCACGAGTCCCAACCCTCACCCCTGCCATCCCCCCAGAACACGAAACCCCATCCCTCACCCCTGCCATCCCCCCCAGGCCACAAATCCTCATCCCTCACCCCTGCCATCCCCCCAGGCCACGAATCCTCATCCCTCACCCCTGCCATCCCCCCAGGCCACGAATCCCTCATCCTCACCCCTGTCATCCCCCCCAGGCCACAAATCCCTCACCCCTGCCATCCCCCCAGGCCACGAATCCCCATCCCTCACCCCGGTCCTACATTTGGTTCTGCTAATCTCTCCATGTAACAATAATCCTCCTTCCCCATCTTGGATCCCCGGCATGGAAGACAGGCGACAGCTCCTCCCTAATCCTCCATCCACCCGTCAAATCCTGGAACTAATCATATAATCTGTCTAGCAGACACTTCCATGTCCCCCTCCCCTCCCCGATAACGAGCGCGCCACAAACATCGCGAACGCGGGATCTCCGATAGGACAAAATCTGAGCAGATATTTCATGTTCGCCGCATTCTTCTCCCAACAATTCCATTCATTTTATATGGCAACAAAGTAACAAGTCAGCTGTATTCTATGTGACAACATTGTGCTGCAAACATTTCCCCTTCAGACCCCCCCGGAGCGGGAGCGAGCGTTCCCATCAACGAAAACGCATGTCATGCATAGGGCGGCTCATTCACTGCACCCGTGCTGCCCCATGCGTACTTGTCACCCGAAAGGATCACCAAGTGTGAATGGAGCCTTACTTGAAACATTGAGGCTGAGAACTCTGCTACCTTTTCATCTTTCTCCGATTTAAATCCTCCCTCAGGCTCCTCCCCTTCAGACTGGCACAGGTGTACAGGCTCCTCCCCCTCAGCCTTGCACAGGTGTACCTGCTCCTCCCCCTCAGTCTTGCACAGGTGTACCGACCCTCCCCTTCAGTCTTGCACAGGTGTACAGGCTCCTCCCCCTCAGTCTTGCACAGGTGTACCAGCTCCTCCCCCTCAGTCTGGCACAGGTGTACTGGCTCCTACCCATCAGTCTTGCACAGGTGTGCTGGCACCTCCCCTTCAGTCTTGTACAGGTGTATCGGCTCCTCCCCCTCAGTCCTGCACAGGTGTACCAGCTCCTCCCCTTCAGTCTGGCACAGGTGTACAGGCTCCTCCCCCTCAGTCTTGCACAGGTGTACCTGCTCCTCCCCCTCAGTCTTGCACAGGTGTACCGACCCTCCCCTTCAGTCTTGCACAGGTGTACAGGCTCCTCCCCCTCAGTCTTGCACAGGTGTACCAGCTCCTCCCCCTCAGTCTGGCACAGGTGTCCCGGCTCCTCCCCCTCAGTCTTGCACAGGTGTACCTGCTCCTCCCCCTCAGTCTTGCACAGGTGTACCGGCTCCTCCCCCTCAGTCTTGCACAGGTGTACCGGCTCCTGCCCTTCAGTCTTGCACAGGTGTACCAGCTCCTCCCCCTCAGTCTGGCACTGTCCCGGCTCCTCCCCTTCAGTCCTGCACAGGTGTACCCAGCTCCTCCCCTTCAGTCTTGCACAGGTGTACCGGCTCCTCCCCTTCAGTCGTACACAGGTGTACCAGCTCCTCCCCCTCAGTCTGGCACTGGTGTACTGGCTCCTCCCATCAGTCTTGCACAGGTGTCCTGGCACCTCCCCTTCAGTCTTGCACAGGTGTATCGGCTCCTCCCCCTCAGTCCTGCACAGGTGTACCAGCTCCTCCCCTTCAGTCTTGCGCAGGTGTACCGGCTCCTCGCCTCTAGTCTTGCACAGGTGTACCGGCTCCTCCCCTTCAGTCTTGCACAGGTGTACCTGCTCCTCCCCTTCAGTCTTGCACAGGTGTCCCGGCTCCTCCCCTTTCAGTCTTACACAGGTGTACCGGCTCCTCCCCTTCAGTCTTGCACAGGTGCATCGGCTCCTCCCCTTCAGTCCTGCACAGGTGTACTGGCTCCTCCCCTTCACTCCTGCACAGGTGTCCGGCTCCTCCCCTGGACTGGAATGGCTTCCTCTGATGTCACTGCACACTGGGAGCTTCTTCATTAGAAGCTGCAGCCAGTCAGATAGAGCTCCGCCCCATTTCCTGGCTGGAGGACGCCCAGCATCATCCAGAACTTTCCACCTCAGCCTGACTGCACCTGGCCCCGCCCCTTTCATTCATTGGATTTCAGTTCTTTCAAATCATGGAGGCTCAGCATGACACGTGGGCGTAACCTATGCAAATGCAGTACATCTGGAAACGCCCACTCCTCCAGACTGACATCCTCTATATTGCTTTGGTAAGGTCCATCTACAACCAACAAGACTTTCCTGTCCACAGGGTGACAACGCTGCTGAGGGATTTCACTGCATACTGAACAGTGTTGTCACCTTGTTAAAGGAAATGGAACAATTACAGATCTAGTGGCAGGATCAACAGGTGATAAAACTATTACTGGGAGGGACCAGGGAAGAGTGAGACATGTGCTGCGCGCAGAGCCGGCGCCATGACATTCCCGGGACCCCCTGCCGCCACATCAGGAACCCGTCTGCGCATCGACACGCAATATCTGCATTTGCAGCATGCCATGTCGGGGCTTTCATGAAACCCTCGGCCCGGGGCGACGGACTGACAACTCATGGGCCCCCAGGCAATAGGGGATCATGGGGCCCCTGTGTCCTTGCAAACAACTCAAATAAGAGTATGAAAAAGGTACCAGGGGCATCTCATGGGGCCCCCTACTGACCCCGGGCCCTCGGGCAGTGCCCGAGTTTCCAAATGGTCAGTCCGCCCCTGTCCTCCGCACTGCTTACTGCAGGAGTCTCCAAACTACGGCCCACAAGCCACATCCGGTCCGCAGCCGGGGTCAGTGTCATGTCCTCCACGTGCGCAGACTGAGGAGACTGCCTATGGTCGTCTGAAGGGGACCTTGACGAAGAGGGGGGGCTCTGATGTAAGGGGGACTCTGATATAAAGGGGGTTTTGATGAGGACCCTGATGTATAGGGGAGCTTTAATTGGAACACAGATGTAAGGGGAGACTCTGATTTAAGGGGGACTCTGATCGGGACACTGATGTAAGGGGGGGAATCTGATGTAAGGGGGGACTCTGATAGGGACATTGATATAAGGAGGGGGGCACTGATGAGGAATTTCATGTAAGGAGGGACCATGATGTAAGAGGGGAATCTAAGGGGGGGCACCGTGATTTAGGTGGGACTCTGGTGGGGACATTGATGCAAGAGGGGAACTGTGATGAGGACCCTGATGTAAGGAGGGGCTCTGATAGGGACACTAATATAAGGGGTGACTTAATGGGGTGCTCTCATGAGGACTCTGATGGAAGGGGGGGAATCTGATGAAAGGAGGGACTCTGATCGGGACACTGCTGTAAGGGGGAACTCTAATTTAAGGGGGGCACTCTGATTTAAGGGGAACTCTGATGAGGACAATGATGGGGACTGTGTAAGGGGGGAAATCTGATGTAAGGGGGGACTCTGATAGGGACATTGATGTAAGGAGGGGGGCTCTGATGAGGAATCTCATGTAAGGAGGGACCATGATGTAAGAGAGGAATCTAATTAAAGGGGGGGCACACTGATTTAGGTGGGACTCTGGTGGGGATATTGATGCAAGGAGGGGCTCTGATAGGGACACTAATATAAGGGGGGACTTAATGTGGGGGTGCTCTGATGGAAGGGGGGAATCTGATGTAAGGGGGGGACTCTGATGGGGACACTGATGTAAGGGGGGACTCTGATGGGGAAATATAATGGGGGACTCTGAAGGGGACACTGATGTAAGGGGGGAATCTGATGTAAGGGGGGGGACTCTGATGGGGACACTGATGTAAGGGGGGAATCTGATGGAACAAGGGACTCTGATAGGGGGGGACACTGATGTAAGGGGGGACTCTGATCTAAGGGGGGCACTCTGATGTAAGGGGGGACTCTGATAGAGACATTGATGTAAGGAGGGGGGCTCTGATGAGGAATCTCATGTAAGGAGGGACCATGATGTAAGAGGGAAATCTAAATTTTGGGGGGGGCACCCTGACTAAGGGGGACTCTGGTGGGGACATTGATGCAAGATGGGAACTGTGATGAGGACCCTGATGTAAGGGGGGACTCTGATGGAAGGAGGGACTCTGATGTAATGAGGTAACCAGGGAATTCTCAGCAGCCAATCAGAGCTCTCTTTCCTGGACCCCTTGTAGTTTCTTCCAGTAAAGCTGCCCCTCCCCCTGGACGCCCGGATCCGGGAAGCCGGAATGTTCTAGAACAGGACTGAGGCCCCGAGGACGGCGCCCCCCCCCCCCCCCCCCCCCGCCTCTGCCAGGATCTCATTAGCAGGCAGCAAATCTCATTAGGGGGTCCCAGAACACTCCAGGAAGTCATTATCCCCCCGGAGTCCCTGCGCCAGAACCCTCCATGGATGTCACAATGAGGACCCGTGTCATAAATATAACCCCCCCCCCCCCCAGGGGACAGGGACCAGGACAAAGCCGCCTATTCAGGGGCCCCGGCCGCATTCGTCTGCTGAATACAGGTTTGGGAATATTGGGAGTCGCTGGCGGCGGGCTGGTGGGACTTATCTATAAAGGACTCCATGTTCCCTGGATGAAGAGCTGGACAATTGCTGTTCATTCCTTAAAGGGCCAATCCACTCCGAATGGCGAGGAAATGAAAGGAGGGGCCTTGTGAGGGGCAAAGTGACCACCATCCTGCCCCCCCTTAGCGCTTCTAGGGTCCGCGTCTGTACATCCAGGGGCGTGGCCTGTTCTGTTTGCCTGCCCCGACCCCCTGACCCCTGACCCCCGCCTGGACGCACTGATTCTACTCTCTGCCTGCTACTTGCCATCATTGGTTTCAGGCACTATTCCCCCTCTTGACACCAATGATGGGCACTATTTCTCCCATGACACCCAATGATGTTTTTTTTTTTTTTTTTTTTTTTGGGCACTATTGGTCCATGACACAATGATGGGGCACTAGTCCTCCAACTCGTCACGCATTGATGGGGGTACCTAATCCTCTACTGGACACCAATGATGGGGCACTATTCTCCACTGACACATGATTGGGGCACTATGCCTTCCAATGTCACAATGATGGTGGCATTTTACCTTCCTACTGACACCATGATGGGGCACTATTTCCTCCCACTGGCACCAATGACGGGGCAATATTCTTCCACTGGCATAATCGATGGGGTACTTATTCCTCCTACTGAACCCAATGATGGGGCACTATGCCTCCAATGACACAACAAGTGTTGGGACACTATTCCTCCCACTGACACCATATGACGGGGATACTATTCCTCCCACTGACCCACTGAGGGGCACATTTCCTCCCACTGACACGATGCTGAAGAGACCACTATTTCCTCCCAACTGACACCAATTGATGGGGCGCTATTCCTATCGACTGACTACCAATGATGGGGCACTGATTTCCTTTCACTGACACCAATGCATGGGACACTATTCCTTCATCTGATACCAATTGATGGGTTTCTGTGTCCTCCGACTGGACAGCATATGTGGGGCACTAATCCTCCTCCCAACTCCATGATGGTGAACTATTCCTCCCCTGACACCTTGATGGGGCGCGTATTCCTTCCACTGACACACTGATGGGTACTAGTCCGCTACTGACATCCAATGATGGTACGGCAGTATTCCCTCCTAAATGTACTCCAATGAGGGGGTACGAGTTCCTCCTACTGACCACAAGTGGGGGGAAACTATTCCTCACACTGACATCAATGTGTGGTGCACTATTCATTCAGATGACAGGCAATGTATGCAGTACTTTGCCTCCTAATGACCACAATGTTTGGGCAACATATTCTCCTGACGGACACCAAGGAGGGGTTGTTGAGCCTCCTACTGGACCACATGAGTGATGGGACTACGTTGCCTCCCCCGACTGACGCATGAGGGGGCATACTAGTGCTTCCACTGACACCTATTGTTGGGGTTCTATTCCGCCTGATGACACAGGATGGTACATCTAATGCATCCAGAGGATTAACCTTTGAGGGGCACTTTTTGTCTCGTCCCAGGTACACCAATGAGTGTGCTCTTTGCTCGCGGCTCGGATCACTTGTTGGTGGGGGGAGTTGCCTGCCTTAGCGTTTCCTAGGAGGGTGACAGCGAGGCACTTCTTGACACCATGTGGAGGGCTCGAGGCCACCCACGGTCACTCTTGGTTGGGGCAGTGGCCGCCCTCGGTCACCTTGGTGGGTGGCTCGATGCCGCACCACCGGACTCCTATTGGTGGGGGGCACGTGGCCGCCCAGGTATCCTCTGGTGGGGGGGTCGTGTTGTGGGTGTGGACGGGGGCGACCAGAGGCGGGGGGAGGGGGGAGGTGAAAGCGGAAGGGTTGGGGATAGGGGCTGGCCGCACGTACGCGGCGTGGGGGTGGTGGAGGCAAGGGTGGGGGGGGGGAGGGTGAGGGGCCGCCGGGGAGGGGGACTGGGGGGCAGGGCGGGGGGGGGGGGGCCCGCGGGGGGCAGGGAGAATGTGTGGGGACGGAGGTGCAAGCGCGGGGGTGTGGCGGCGGCGGGGGTGGGAGGACCGAGGGGGCGGGGCAGGGTGGGCGGGGCGGAGGCGGGGGGGTGTGGGATGGGGAGGGCGGGGGGAGGCCGGGGCGAAGTGGGGCTGGGGGGGGGGGGGGGGCGGAGAAGGGGGGGTGGGTGGGGGGGCAGGGGGAGGGGGTGGGGGCTGGTGGGGGTGCCGGGGGGGGTGGTGGGGGGAAGGATGGCGGTAGGGGGGATCGTAGGGAGCGGGGGAGGATGGGAGGGGGAAGGAGGGAGCGGTGTGGTGTGGGGTGGGGGGAGGCGAGAGAGGGCGTGCACGGGGGGGGGGCCGAAGGGAGGGGGTGGGATGAGTGGGGTGGGGAGGACGGACGTGGGGGCGCAGGTGAATGGCGGGGTGGGGTGGGGGGGGAGTTGGGGGGTGT